TCTCCTTTCTGTTGAAGTCTACAGAAGCTAAATTGCCCAGGTCGAACATGGCTATTATCACACTTCCTTATCAAAATTCTTGCTTTCATGTGTAGTCCTTTTGTTTGCACTCTCATTCTATGGATCGCCGAAGTGGTTGATTTCTGCTACGCGAGTTTTTTGCATGATCGGGAATTTTTGTCTGCAGGGTTACAAGCGTTCCCAAGTGCAAAAATCTCAAATATCACTAACAATCCTTGAAGCAGTTTATTGATAATTTTATAGAAAATTAACAACAATTTATTGATAGTTCTGTGGTAGTAAGGCGTTATAAATTTACTGATAATTTTACAGCTTGGAAGCGAGGCGTCGTTCCGGTTTTCGGCGTTTTTTTCCAACCGATAAATCGCTGAAAGGAATAATCGGTGGCGGGATTACGGGTGGTATCGAAGTTTGTATTACATTCCCAACAGAATATGTCAAAACACAGTTGCAGTTGGACGAAAGGTCTGCACATCCGATCTATAAGGTTCGATTTGCTTTTAATCATTTTAGGTTGAGATCTGACAAGCGAGCACCAGCTGATGTTTCCCCTATGCATGTTATCTTCTCAACCTGCTTAGGGCAATGTTTGGCGGGTTCACTCCACGACAGCGACCTGCAGTTGTTGAGTGCATATCGAGAGGTCGAAATAGTTCGGTGGTGAATCGCCGTATTATTCAAATTTGGCTCTCATTGCAGATACTTCCGTGCTCGATTATTGATGCACATATAAGGGCACTAATCCTGTTGGGTTTATGCGATGTCTGCTAAGGCCTAATATATTTGTTAAGCCTTTGAGGGTAATCAGCGGTTTTCTTTTTATGCGTTTTTGCAGCAGTGCAATGCGAAAAACGCATATTGACGAGAGGTTGTCTGTGTGTCCGTGTGTCTGTGTGTCTGTGCGTCTGTGTGTCTGTGTGTGCGTCTGTCACGCACTTTCATCTCAGGACTTATAAAAGCTGCGGAGCTAAAATTTCGGGAACTTAATCTACATGCACGTGCCGCCCCAATCCCCAAAACTGGCGCCAAAACCCGCATGATACCCGCGTACGATCGCGCCAAAATTTTTTTGGGGTCAGTTCATAATTCGAACCCCAATCCCTAAAATGGGCGCCAAAACCCGCGTAGTACCCGCGTACGGACCCCCCAAAGTTTTTTCGGGGTCAGCTCATAACTCGAGGATCTACATCCCCAAAATTGGCGCCAAAACCCGTGTGGTACCCGCGTACGGACCCCCCAAAGTTTTTTTGGGATCAGTTCATAACTCGAGGATCTAAGAAGCTAGAAGGCTGAAATCTTGGAGTAATGTTCCCCGCCCAAGCGGCTATTAGTGGGCTCAAACCCGGCCTGCTCAAGGCTGAAATCTTGGGGTAATGTTCCCCGCCCAAGCGGGTATTAGTGGGCTCAAAACCAGCCCCCCGGGTAAGCGTGGTACCCGCGTACGAGCCCGCCAAAATTTTTTTCATGTAAATTGATAACTCAAGTACCTGAGAAACTAAAGGAATGTAATTTTAAGAGGATATATCCCGTTCACCTAAGTTTCATTCAGCTCAAACCCAGCTCTCAGGTATGCTTGATAAACATGCACGGGCCCGTGGAAGTTTTTTTTTTTTCCAGTAAGTTGCTAACTCAGGAGCCAGGGAAGCTAGAAAGCTGAAATTTTAAGGTTATGTTTTCTGACAGTTCTGGCGGTCAGTCTTAATTTGTTTAGCTAGAAGTGTTTGCCGAAAAAACGGTGCCGGTTGCAACAAGAACTGCGGAGAACCATGCACAAAACGCATCTTCGCACTGGCAGCCTGTGCGTTGGCCAGTTATTTTATGTAGGACCAGTAATCTAACTTATTTTCGTAGCGATAGGTTTCATGATATCCATAAATCGAAATTCACGGTGTTCCTGTGATTCGGTTTATCTTCGATTTTTATTATAAAGATTATTTTGATTTCTTTTTCAGGGTCCTATTGATTGTGTGAAGAAGACAGTACAAACTAAGGGTTTCTTTGGACTCTATCGAGGATTATCAATATTAATTTATGGCTCAATTCCCAAGTCAGCATTCAGGTAAAGCAATTTAGCTCTTATTTGAGCTTTTAAACATGATTTAGAGCCGTTGAAATTTGCATTAAGTTTTAATTTTTCTGGTTTAAGCAGCTCCCGAAATTTGTCTCTTTCCCTGCCATC